TTGATTTTGTTCTCGAAAGTTATGATTTTGTTCAATTTTGTCCTTACATGTTTTGATTTTTTTTTATTTAGGCCCTACTAAGTTTTAATTTCATCAATTGGCCCTTTTAAGTTTCTAATATCTAAATTAACCCCAAATATTTCTGTATTTTTCAATTAAGTCCCTATATTGTTAAAATTACAGAATTACCCCTACATTGGGGTGTTACCTAATCATTTCCCAAAATTGAGAGAAGTAAAAAAATAGAACCCTCACTTGGATATGCTTTTGTATTGACAGGCTGGCAGGAATACGTGAAGAAAAAATATCACAATGCTAACAAGTTTCATAATTTTTATATGATTAACTTAATGTCTTTCTGGACATTTTTAATTGCGTTGTGTTTGTGGCTGCTATATTAATATGCTATATACTAACAACGCATTTTCTCAAACTGTATTCACTTACATACTGAATTCATATCATTATGAGCAGATCTATATTCAGGGCTTTGCTTGGGACAGTTTATGTGTTTGGCATGCTGGAGGTATATCTTGTCCTTTGAAGTATGAAATTGACCCAGAAGCCGAAGACTGGCAGCCTAATCTAAGGTGGCAGCTTGAAGATCAGAGCTGTCACTGTGGAATTCGAAGGCAGAAAGCTTGACTGGCAAGGTGTTAAGAGTTGTACTTAGAATTTGTAAAGTAGCATGCTATAATTTTCCATCTGTAGATTTTGGAATAAAATGATTGGCCCTATGTTAAGTTAGTTAATAGTTGTTCTTATCCTTGTCCCTACTCTCCTTTGCAAAATGGACACTACCCTTATTGGAAATATACTACAAAGCAGTGGTTTTTTTAAATAATTAATTCAGCAAAGTGATTATTTTTACTTGTATTATATAATCTTATTGGAACTATTTTAGAAAATCAAAACCCTAACCAAGCCTTAAATTCAACCCAAGAATAACTATTCAAACATTAAATTTAATTAGAGTGAGAGCAAGAGTTTGATTTTTTGGAAGTGTACTTGTTAGAGAGTATTTTAACATTTCATGTTTTGCTCTGAAAGAAATTGGTATAGAGTCAAAATTGGCAAAAAAGGAAGTGTACATATGCACTGTAGTTATAATAAACTTACTTTAAATTAATTAAACACACACTATATCACCTAGAAAAATAGAAGTGTAATGAAAATTTGATATTGAAAAGCAAGACATATATATATATATATATATAGTTTTAACCTCTAGAAATGTAATATCTCATAATTTTAATAAAATTTTAAGTTAATTTTATAGCCCGAGGGCTCAATTGAAAGAATAAAAATGTTTTGGGTCAATTTGAAATATTAAGACTTGATTGAAGAAATTTAAACTTTCGGGTATTAAATTGAAAATGTCAGGGACTAGATCAGATTATGGAATAAAACTCATGGACTAGATCGTAAGGAATCAAATAGTTTAGGGACAAAATCAAAAAAAGTTGAAGAAAAGTGGATTTTATTCCCAAACAGATGGCCGACCGTTTGAGAGCTAATTTCCGAGCTTTTTTTTTATTGAATTGAGCCTATAAATTGGATCATTGGCTCGAGATGAAGCAAAGCCTTCAACCAATTTGAGAAAATCAGCTTGTTAGCCTTGTCAATTTCCCGATTTTCTATCCGGCTTTTTTATCCGCCATTTTTGAGCTTTTGAGCTTAATTCCTTTAAATTAAATTGCTTTTAAACCAAATTGAAGAGCCTATCTTGGTCGCCTACCATTTCTTAGCTTCATTGCAAATTTTCGTAGAGAAATTCTAGGTAAATTGCCTTTAATTTACGATTAATTGAATCTATGTTTTGGTTTATGTGTTCTGGGGCTGGAAGAATTGACTAGGATGCACCTAGCAGGTTGGGCCTGTTGGGTTGGCCCAATTCAGCTGGGCCATTTTAGGCCCAGCGCGTGGGCGCACGGCCCACGACCCGCAGCCTGTAGCCGTGAGTCATTGCAGGGTTGGGTTGATCGGGCTTAGCCGACCCGAATCCGAGTCTGGGTTTTCTTGAAAACAAAGAAATTTAGAAATTTTAGAAAATTGAGGAAAAATAAAAGAAAAGTGAGAAAAATTCAGGAAAAATTGGAAAAAATTAGGAAATGATATTTACTTGATTTTGAGAAAATTTTTGATGAAAAACCATGGAAATAATAATTTTAATTTTCCAAATAAATAGTGAAAAATAAAGGAAAAATATAGAAAAATGGGGAAAAATTCCAAGAGTGAAAATCAAAGGGTATTATACATTTGTGATGTATCTAGAATTTCAGGACTTTTTAAAAATATTTAATATATTCATAATCTCATAAATAAATAATTTAGAAGCATGTTTGTGTGCGCACTTGCATGGGCACAGCTTCATGAACTTTTTTCACTTTTCTATTTTTATGTTTTGAATTTAGCAAGGACGCAACATCTAAAACGGTTTGGAGACGGACGATCCCAAGTTATATCAGATTACAAACATGCAAATATAGACAATTACACACACACACACACACACATACACACACACATCTACTATATTCATGATGGTTTCCATGTGAAGAAATACTTGTAAAAATTATAAAAATAAAGGAGTAACACTTCAAAGAAATTATTAGAACAAAAATATTTTTGATGGAAGAAAATCTAGAAACAAAAACTTACTGACTCAGTCACGAGAACCATTTTGATAGAATTATGAATTTTAGAGTGGTGAAATTTGGAAGTGCTCACAATCACACAAGTTGAACTCTGATCATCCACTTCTCTTTTTAAGAGAAAATATTAGAAATAGAATTAAAAGTATAACGAAAATTTGGTATTAAAAAGCAAGACAGGAGAATAATACATACATACATAGCTATATATATATGGTTTTAACCTTCAGAAAGGAATGGGAAGAGTGGGATCTCTAGCAAAGAAATTATTAGTAAGGGGAGCTAATTTATGAATAAATATATGCTTTTAATTTGCCTTTTTTGTTTAACTAATAATTTTATTTTTTAATCCATTTATGTTTAATTGAACAGGTGAGTTTCAATTTTTTTTTTATCGAAAACTCATGGATTTAGTTCAATTAATTTCATAATTTATATTTATAAATTATCTAATTCAAAGTAAAATATAACGTGTGTATTACAATAATAATAACAACAATAACAATAACAATAAGACATTAAGTAAGAGGATAAGATGGTACTCATAATTTTTTATTTTAATTTTCACAAATTTACTTTACCAAATGTATCCTTCTTTAATTATCGAGGAATTTCATTCATAATAAATTGTTTTATTCTTTCTATGCTAACAATCTCCGGTTAGAAACTTTGCCATAAAGAAAGACATCATACGATTGACTTTCATACCAAGGCATTCAAAAATAAAGATCTGTCAATAATCAGTAGTAGCTGATTTTTTTTTTTTTAAATCTTGGTAAAACTCCTTGTCAAATAGAGACATAACAAAATGTTTATATTAAAAAGGTCATAATTTTTTATTTTTATGAATATATTTTAAATTATAAAAAATTTGTATATAAAACTTTTACATTGTTATTACTTGCTAAATAATTAATTTTATTCGAAAATATAATTAATTATATTTACTATAAGAGTATCTAATAAATTATTAATCAGCCAATAATAAGAAATATATGAAAATAAATTATTAGAAAATAATTGATTACATGAATTTATAACGTCTATATATAGCAAAAAGAAGCAAATTAATTATTGAAAAAATTAATTACATGAGTTGATATAAACCAAACATTTGAGAAGAGGACATTTGAAAATTTCTTTTTTACAAATTAATTCTGTTTTATAGAATTAGAAGATCATGGCAAATATTTGAAAAAAAGAAAAAGAAAAAAGAAAAGTATCAATATCTTAAATAAATATTGATTCCCATTCTAAATTATCCTCTATGTCATGAATGTTCAGATTTTAAAACTTGGGACCAAAAATTTAGGGAATTTTTTTTAATACTAATTTTGCTGACCTATCCAATGTATCCTTATTGGAAAAGCCCTAATTTAAAGAATTTCATATTTAAAAATCAAGTATCCTAGTGCACCACAGTAATGAAAATACAATATTTAAAAGCTTCTCTACCCTCTGCTTTTCATTTCATCAAATAGGCTAGAATTTTTTTTAGATACCCAAATAATTCAAAAAATTCTTCTCTGTGGATCACAGGCACTGTTCTGTTTGATTTCTTGCAAGCACTTTTTTTTTTAAAAAAATTGGAAACAAGACATCTGTTAATGTTGCTAACTAAGATCAAAAATTAGGTGTTATTGTTAGTGATAATTCCTGTATTCGTATTCTAATGCATGTTGAATTCATATTTGTCTTGAAATATATTGAAAGTTTATTAAAATTATTAATTATTCATTTTCACTAAAAATAAATTTATATCAAATTCGTGTAAGCAAATTAATCGTGTAATATAGTATCATATTTAATTATATGATATTTATATTTTTCTAATTTAAATATTTTAATAATGTTATATTATATTTATATTTTTCTTAATTAATTGAAATGGTACTAGCATCAAAATTGGAAAACTGTACTGAATGTGCAAGATATTCTTTTTATTCATTTCATTGATCATGATCGGCTTCATGAACCGATTTGTACATGCGTTTATTCATGGGAAACAAAAGCAAAAGACTAAAACCTAATAGCTTTCTTTACAAGTAATCAGTACACCCAGTTCAATTTTTCCCTTCTGTTGATCATCATCCAGTATAGAAAATACAAAAGTGTACAAACACACTCACGCATACACACAAATACATCTTATTTTATCATTTATTATAATACAAATACATATAAAATAATTATTATGAATCTTGTTCCTTTCATGCTTTTCGCCTCTTGTTATGTGACACAAAGATTTAGGTTAATGGAGTGCCAAGCGTTCGATATAAGATACAAAATATCATGCACTACCATTTTAAGTGTCACATAACAAGTGGAAGCATTCTTGATCTCATTTCATTTGCGTTCAAGGCGACAATGTTGACTGGTCTCGCATCCCCTCTCGTAATGGTTGACTTCGCCAGACTGGCCGTTGTTCCCCCCTGGGTGGCCCTTGGGTAAGTCACGATCAAGGGCGCCGTAGCTAATGGAATTGGCGGTGGTAGTGCCTGACAGGATGGAGCAGACAAGGAGAGCCCCAAGGCAGAAAATGATCATTCCCTTTGGAAGAGCCATTTCTTGTAGTTAGACACAAGAGAAAGTACCGATTACAATGTGGATGGAATAGGTTGATGGTGTTGGTGGGTGGATTTTATAGGGAAAGGAAGCTCGGGTGTTGGCGGGTGATTGTAGTAAGGAGAGGATGACATTAATTTTTAAACATAGAAAATTTGTTAAATTTAAGAACTTTCAACTTGTGGTTGAGAAAAATAATCGGAAGAGATGACTATTCTATTTTAACAGAAGACATATGTGATATTTTATTATTTTTAAATAAATTTATTATAATTACTTTATATGTATAGTAAATTGTTGCAGACCTTGCATTTAAACATCATTCTATATGACATATTCATAACCCTGATATTCCAATCTTGAGGAATGTTCTTGTACATGAAAACTAAGGTCGTCAGTTTGCAATTCTTGTAGCAGTATGTCTTACTTCCGTTCCCAAATTTAATACAAAAATTAACTGATATACAGTTGAGCATCTGGCATTTCCAAACTCAGTTATGAATTAAGAATTCTACTGAGATGGAGAAAACCTTTTTTTAATAGTAATTTTGGCAACAAATTAAATCAAGTTGAATTTTCAGAAAACAAAAATTCATTAGAAGAGATAATGGAATTATCAATTTAATATGTTATTCCTCTTCTTTTGCTTTTTTTTCTTCATTAAGAAAGTGGAGTCTGCATTTTATACTTTGTACAACTTTTTATCTCTTAATAAATAGCTAGAACACATGAGTATATCCTTTTACAGAACACATTTTTCATTTGATCCATTGAAACTGTGAAGCATAAAATTGGGTTTCACAAATGAAAATGAAAATGAAAACAACATATGTTTTCTACAACTAAACGAACAGACTTAAATTACTCCGAAATTAACAGAGACAAAAGAAAAGAGAAATACTATGACAAAATTAATAATATTAAATTGAATAAAGTAATGACAGAAGATTTTTGTTTTTCTGCTTGTCCAACGCTGCCAGTGAACCTCACTTCTACCTTGCCAGGGGAAGGGGTAATTTCTTTTCTTATAAATTAACCAACTTGCTTGCTCAATTGTACGTACAAAAGTGGATCAGCTCAGTCTTTAACCGCAATGAGCTGAGATGATGAATTTGGGATTGAAATCAAACATAAATAATTGAAAACTCCCAAAAGAAAAAGAAAAAAGAAAGTAGATGAATCTGTTGCAAATGCTAACCGAGGAGAACCAATGTGCAAAAATATGTTATTACCCACAGAAAATGAAAGGTTCCATAAATTTGTTGCTTTCTGGTAGTAATAACTCTTAAAAGAGATGGGAAATGGTTTTTGGTGACAGAATAAAGTAGGGAAATTAAATGATAATGTCCGTACAGAGTACAATACAGTAAATGCTGCAATCATACTTGGCGTGTGATTGGGTAATGTGGGTTCGAGGTCCTTTGGTGTTGGATTGCTAGTGGTTCTTTCCCAGTGGAAGCAGCAATTCAACCTTGTAGATAGCAACAATCTGCCTTGTCCAATTCAATGACTCTCTTCCCTCAAAACCACCACATGAGGAGGTGAACGTCATTATATTTACATAATAGCTCTGTCATTATAAACTATCCACATATATATCTTAGTAATTGCATCACCAATTAATCCAATTTCTCCTTTCCTATTCATTCTCCTTCCTCCAAGTTTAGGTCTAAGGATTGACAGAAAAAAATGAGAAGAAAAAGATTAATAACTTAAAAATTTTGTACATTCCCGTACTTAATTTTTCTATATGTTTTACAAGTGTAAAATTTTAAGGACTTGGAATTAAAAGTTTAGCGGATAAAATTTTAATGCTTAGTGTTCTGCTTTATCCAAGAGGCCTCACCAGTAAGATGAAATATTGAAGTGTACCCCAATATTGAAAATACAATGCTTAAAAAAATTCAAGTATATTTAATGAAATGAAATGTAATTATTTTATTTGATCTCACACAAGTATTTGACAACAAGACTTCAGTTAATAGTTGTTATTAAGACCAAAAAATTGAGAGTTACACAGGCTCTGATACCAATTTTAAGCGAGGCGTTGGGTACCTCAAAGGCCTCGAAGGCAAGTCAAGCATAATAGAAGCAAAATAAACATAATTAATTCATCAAGGGCAAGGCCCAAATCTCAATTTGTCTCGCAGAGAAATAGTAATTCAAAAATTATACCTCAATCTTGCCAAATCAAATGAACAAGCTCACTGAAAACTTTTCTGCTATGAATGAACCTCTAGCCTAAGCTAGCTGAAATTTGGGCTATCAAGGCATCCAGTCGTCGGCCTCTGTGGTGGTCTACACACGGACTGCCCACTCATGGTTCTGCGATGCTAGAATCACCAAATTACAGTCTCTCACTCAGCAAAACGGAAGGAAGCTCACTATTTGTAGCCCCCTGTTTCCTTTTCAGTTTATACATTATGGTTGTGAATTCAATTAGAGCAATGAAAAAAAATTAAAAATAGTTTTAATGTTATTGAAACCTGTTATGAAGAAGGTGAAGAATTTCAGCAGTGAGGAAGGATGAGTTTTTGTTTGTCTTAATTATAATTCATATGCATTAAAAACAAAACTAGGTATCTCTAATTCGTGTTAAACGAATCAGTTTTGTTGTGTTTTGTCCAATTCTATCCTTTCATATTTTTCTTAATAAATTCATATTATACTTGAATCAAAATTGAGAAAACATAGAAAAATATTCTCTTTATTAATTTTACTCATCATGATAGGCTTTTTAATTTAAACAGTCTCACTACAAAAAAAGAAATGTAAAAAAAAGCAGTTTTTAACTGTCATTATATACATGTATAGTAGTTTCAAAAACTATTGTAATTGTGTTTGTCATTCAGTGTAATTAGGAGGTCCCAACTCAATTGTTGTAATTTATAATGGTAAGTTACGGCAGTTGAAATCATCGTAAATTACAACATTCTATAATGGTAAGTTACGGTAGTTGAAATCGTCATAAATTACAATAATTCAAACTGCCATAAATTATTGAATTAAATTAAGACAATTCGAACCATTGCAATTTTTTTTTTTTTTTTTTTTATCTATTTTCTGATCCAAATCTAAGACTTAGATCTGCTATTGAAGCCCAAACCGGGGTAATTAACCTGGTCCAACCCATCTGGCTTGATTCACTAACTAGGGCCTTAGCCCAATTGATCAAGGTTGGCCCAGTATAGCTCATGACCCAACTAGAAACCCAGTCCAATTTTGGGGAACTGGGTAACTGGCAGACTTGAACCCTAGTCAGGTCTATCTCCTAGACCTGTGTCACGGCCCAAACCCAGGCCTGTGACCAGTAATAGGGTTTCCGACTCTAGTCAGCCCTACAGTCATAAACATATGCCAGAACTACCCAAAACATATATATATATTATATACCTCTCAAATCGTTAATTACAAAGCCAGGATCTTGCCTGAGTGATAAAGGGAGCACTAGAGTACAAAACAAGTAAACAAAGAACTCGCCTATACATCAAATGGAGTGGTAGATGACCGTCTCAACCCTGGCACGTAACTCGAGAATAGCAACCTATATTTGGAAAGTTTATAATAAGTGAGTCGTGAAACTCAGTGAGTATAGATGATACCTAAGCTATGCATGTTAGGATATGCATCCTGCCACAAATTGAAAGCCATACATACATATATCGATATCAATAAAACATATCAAACACACTCTGAAAGATACTGTCAACCAAGCATCACATCACATCACATCACAGCACATCAACTCACATTACAGCACTGGACCCAGGTCTACTCACCACTAGACGCTATGGATCACCGTACTCCAGCCGAGTTCCTGGCATCGCAGTCACTTCACACGACCCAGGCCGACTCACCACTGGACGCTACGGACCGTCATACTCTAGCCGAGTTCTTGGCATCGCAAGCAACTCGCACATCCTAAGCTGACCACGGGACGCTACGGACCCGTACTTTAGCCGAGTTCTTGGCATCCCCCAAATCATATCCCACGAAACCATTCTCACATACAAATCAAAAACAAGCACCTATACACATGCAAAGTTCACATTTCCTGAAACCAGTGGTACATATTAACATAGCTTATTCATAGTTCATTAACATATAACACATATTCTAAGATTCAGGTATCAAAACACAGTTTCGCAATCCATGCAATCATCATGCTAGAAACACAGATATGAGAATACATGCACAGAGAGGGTATCATCACTCACTGTACAGGCTGAATCAAAAGAGGTCTCAGGTCACTTCAACCCACTCTGCGGTTCAAGTACTCCTCCATGGATGAATCTGAAGTTAAAACCACACAAAACCATCAACAACCTCATCATCAGCACAAAACAGGCTCGATAGCCTAAAACTAGATTTAAATTCCATCCCCGCACTCGACACGCATCCTGAGACACCACTACCCATCATCAGGTCCCGCACGACTCATTTAACACTCACATTTTAGATCAACAACCCTTAACAGTAAAGGACCAGCCTCCACAACCCCTAACCCATAGTGAACCGGTCTCCGAAACCCCTGAACCAACCTAACCCGGTTTAAAACTAACTCAAACTCAACTAGATTGGTCACGAAATCCTCAAAATCGGATTCAGAAGGTCTAAAAACCCCAAGAACCATCCTGAACCGGCCAAGAATCTCTCAAAGTTAAACTGAACGGCCCAAAAACCCTGATCCTAAGCACTAGTACATTGAACCGAGCCCGGTTCACCTTGAACTGGACATCTAAATATCACTAAATTTCATGGTCAACTAGGTTTCATCATGTTGAACCAGGAACTGGTTCAATCTCCCCAAAAACTGGCCTAAAAACCAATGAATCGGTCACCCGAAGGGCACTACACTAAACCGGTCAATTCACCTCGAACCGGCCACCCAAATTTTCTCGAACCCACTTGGTTTGATAGGTATTTTCTTCCTGAATCTAGAACTGGTCCAACTTCCCAAATCCAAGCCCATTTGACCACTGAACCGGCCGGTCAAACCC